AAAATGCATTCCAATGCATTTGATTCCTTTGAGAAAATCAACATTTTCTGGCTGAATGCCGAAGAAAGCCCTCTAGCGACGACATGTGACATTATCAAAACTTCAAATATCATAATATTTGTAACTAAAAAATAGCTCTTTTCAGCTATAGCTCAACATTGCAGTTACGCTATTTAGCAGCCATTTCAAAAAAATATGAATATTTTCCAGATCTTTTCTCTTGGTCGTTTTAGTAATAACTTTTTTGCCGCAACCCCTCTACGATGGACAGTTTCCCAGATACAGTACCTCACATTCTTAGTTGGCCACCCTGTACACTATAAGTAAAGGTTATCTTCGAAGTATGATTGTATTCTGGGCCCTTCTTTTCTACTACACTAGTGAGCCAGAGAGTATCTGTGTATACCGAATAAATTATTGAAACTTGACCCTATATGGCTCAAAAAACAAGAATTATGCGTTATATTTTATGGAGACGAACATTATGCGAACATCGATTCAGTAGATTAATATTGACACTTATATTCTTAACAAATTTTTAATCGGTAGAGTTGTGTAATCACAATTGATAATAATGATCTAGCGATTCTGAGTGACAGCATTACTTCATTGAACAACACACTCTAATTAAATGAACAAATAACATAGATAGGTAGGTCAAATATTTTTTCCAGATTGTTTCGAACAGCATTAACACCTTTAGAATCAACTTTCTTATTTCAAGAGTTATTTCGTGGTTGTCTTCATATATACAACAGAAATAATATTATGAATCATATTCGATCAACAATATCAACATTCTGTTTGCATCTACTTCTTCTCAATGATGGATCAGTATAATGGGAGGGGTATACCTGGACACTCCACGCAGATGGTTGAAAATAATGTGGTTTCTTCAATAACTTGGTAGATTTCAATGCAAACAAAACACAAGCATGCCTTTTCTCTAGAAAAGCCGATCTCACTGTGCCCATCATGAGCTTATGAGGAGTAACCATACCTTTGAAGACATCCATTTCGATGCTTGGTATTACTATCAGCAATAACCTTTCTTGAGAAAATCACGTGAGATCGATTGCTGAAAGTGCATCCCAAAAACTTGGTTTACTGTTTCGGGCCAGGAGCTATTTCACTTCCAGTCAGCTGCTTATGATCTATAAGGCACAGATCCGACCTGTCATGGAATACTGTTCCCATATTTGGAGTGCAGGCTATATTTTATAGACATTTTCATGGACGATGCTCTCCTGAAATATCAACAATTGTTCCTCCCTTGGCAGTCCCCGCGAGATCAACCCGCGGAGTTGAGGCATTGCACCCCTTCGTGGTCACTTTGGAGACCTGCAGAACATCTCTTTCCAAACACTCGTTTATCCAACGAACAGCGAGGCTCTGGAACACATTGCCAAGGGAGGTGTTCCCTATGGCATATAACCTCCAGAAATTCAAGGAGAACACCAATTCCTACCGTATTTTCCTTGGTTCTCACTATGTTCTCTGAACATTACAGGATATCTCTTTTCATGAGAACCAGAACATGAAAAAAAAAATTCTTATTCATTCAGGTTATTTCTTTATTTTAGACGTTCTAGAATGAACTGAAAAACGTTATCGCAGAGAAACCCATGTGCTTTCACTAAAAAGTAATTCAGGTGTTTGTATACCTCTTTCGATTTTTTACTCAGATTTGAAAAATCGGCATTTTTTAACAAATGCCGTGAAGTCATCATCTCTAGACTATCAATCCACTAGTAGAATTCCATGCTTTAACATATTTGAAAGAAATTCTTCCATGTATGTACCTACCTAGGTACAGAATATTTAAAAATATCTCGATTTTATTCGAAAATAACTTTTTTCGTATATCATCTGCAGCATAATCATTGTCTGTGTATACAGGGTGTAAATTTGAAAACTTCCAATGCGAATATCTCGCGAAAGAATAAAGTTAGAAAAACGCCGTTTGGCAAAAATGCTAAAGAGTTAAGGGCAACTAGAACCACCATATTTCGCTCAAGGGATGAGTCACCCCGTCGGCGCGACACACCCCAACTTTGAAATGTCAAATGGCACTACCTTTTTTGTGATGCATCAAATGAACAGTCTCAGTCAGTAGTATTCACTTGTACAAGACTTTTTTTCCACCCACTACAGGGTGTACGAAAAATATAAAGTCGAATAAAATAAAATGAATTGTGTTAAAAGGATATTTTATTTGATCAGATGTTCAAAATGCATCCCATTCTGTTGTAAGCAATAGTATAATCGATGTTCAAATGCCATTCTAACATTTTGAAACACATCTCTTGGAATATATCGGCATTCTGCATTTTATTTTATTCGACTTTATGTTTTTCGTTCACCCTGTAGTGGGTGGAAAATAAGTCTTGTACAGGTGAATACTACTGACTGAGACCGTTCATTTGAAGTATCACAAAAGAGGTAGTGCCATTTGACATTTCAAAGATGGAGTGTGTCGCGCCGACGGGGTGACTCATCCCTTTACTGAAGTATGGTGGTTCTAGTTCCCCCTAACTCTGTAGCATTTGTGCCAAACGGCGTTTTCCTAACTGGTTTATTTAGCGAGATATTCGCATTGAGAGTTTTCAAATTCAGACCCTCGAATTGACGTTTTTCGTACACCCTGTAGTGGGTGGAAAAAAAGTCTTGTATAGGTGAATACTACTGACTGAGACCGATCATTTGAGGTATCACAAAAGCGGTAGTGCCATTTGACATTTCAAAGTTGGGGTGTGTTGCGCTGACAGGGTGACTCATCCCTTCACTGAAATATGGTGGTTCTAGTTCCCCTTAACTCTTTAGCATTTTTGCCAAGCGGCGTTTTTCTAACTTTTTTATTTCGCGAGATATTCGCATTGAAAGTTTTCAAATTTACACCCTGTATGTATACTTTCAAAATGATGAAATATAAAATACATTTGAAATGTGTTCTTCCTCATTACTATTTGATTAGGTGGGTATAAATTGTAGACTGATGCTGCGGACAAGCGAACAAATCATTGTTTTCATTGTATATCAGAATTCAGATTAACAAAATACACAATAAGAAGTTCTTCAATTTTTTTTCTGGCTCAAGTTGTACTTAGGTCAGGTCAGCCTGAGTACGAACTTCTGAAAAGGTCGCCCTGTAACTCTCGACCGATTCTGAAACCCAGATCTGGAACACTATCTTCCTTATTTTTCTTTTAGAGGTGCGATATAGGCACATTCACTAGCCCATGTAGGTTTCATACTATTTGTAGGTGTATTGATAACTTAAGATCGATGTGACTCATTAGGCATGTTTATACAGTAAGGACCAAAAGTTCTTCGCCCCTCTACCCGTAAATTCTTCATTTTAAAATTACGTATTACAAAAAATGTTAAAAGCTTAAACTCTTTCAAGTACTTTGGTGCAGAATTTGAACCACGAATTTCTTGGAGTTAGAGGTATGCTGGGACAAAATATATCCCGCTCTGCAATGGGCTTATGATTTGTGGTACGACGGTTTATTTTCTCTCCCGCCCCATATTACTCACTCATGGTCTTTTGAATCATATGTTCTAAGCTGGAGCTAATAAAACAATACATTATTAGTGAATAGAATAAACTCGAAACTTGTTCCGTACGTTGTGTTTCTCCTCTCGAATTGCGGCTGCAAATTTCATGCTTATCATGTTATTACATTTTTTGTTGCATTAAATACTATCTAGGCAACATAGGTAACCTACTTGTTATATTTTTCCAACTTATATGTTTATGTTTCGTTCACAAAATGTGAAAATCTACGCTGTTTGAAATTTGTCCCACCATACAACATGACCAAGACATTTTTCGAGGATAATGATGAGGAAAATGATGTCGAATTCAATTTTAACAACATCATACTGTCTGATATGGATACATGGGACCCAGAAGATTTGATACCCCGATCGCGGAGTTGAAACCAGGGATAGATAAAAAAATGGTGTGGAGTGGATGAGATCGTTCAGCCAAAAGATTTCAATAGATCCTCTGGAGTGGCTCAAGATAGATAATCTCTCTCGTCAGTTCATCACCGACAAATTATTGAATCACATAGTTTTCCAGATCAATCTATATACTGAGCAGAATTATCAGACGACTGGAAATACATATAAAGGAACATATATTCATATAATCTTCTCCTTGGATGCCGCTGTAGTCAACTCATTTATTCTTCACAGAATACTCTATATCTTTCAAAGTTAATAATGAAAGATATGATCATTTAGTCGTCAATAAATATCAGTATCTTCATCGAGAACATCAATCGAATGGACGAGTCAAATAGAGAAAAACACTCAGTCAAAGCCCGGTAATGAGAGTCACACAGGGTGCTCATCAACCTATCCGAACAAGTCGAAAAAGATAATGCTCTTTGCAATTCAGGAAAGTTTGAAGATGGAACAAACTGGTTGTGTGTTCCACTCTGTCTTGGAAAGAACAAAACATGATTGCAGACGTGATTTGAAATCAGTCGATTCTCATGAAATCTTTCACCTTATGGAATGGTGGGTTAGATTTTGACCCACCGTTTTTTTGTAAAAATTGGAAAATTCTGAAATTATTTCATATTTGTTCGTATCTTTTGAGACATTTGGAGTTATCTCTTGAAAATCTGAAGAAAAATAAAGCTGTACATCTAGGGGGTGTTATATTTCGAAATTCCTGTACCTGAAAGAGTTAAAAGAGTTAGGATAGGAGATTGAAATACATTGTGTTCCATTTTTCATGGTTTTCTTACTGAACTGACAGGGAAATAGACGAAATAATAATTTACAAATATCATAATTTCAAAATCATTTTTATTTGTGACATGAAATCATCCATATCGAACTTCTTCAAAATTGAACGTGAAATCTGGAAATGAATGATATGAAGGGGTGTCCTATAATAATCAATATTAAATATCAAATGAAATAACTCGAAAAATTCAAATTCTCCACCATTCAATGAATCTGTTTTACACTTTTTGCAGGTTTCAGAAATATTGGAGCTTCTAGGGCTGAGTGAGTGTCAACATACATTAACTTCAAGGTTATCAGGAGGACAAAGAAAAAGGTTAGCTGTCGCACTTGAGCTACTTAGCAATCCACCCATACTATATCTTGATGAACCTACCACGTAAGTACAAATTTGTAGACCAATCATCAGGTACTTTCGTCAATTGATACCATCGTGAAAAAGTATGAAAAAAATAACTACTTATTGATAAATACGAATACAATTTTCTCGAATAATATTCCCTGCATGATCGTTGATAGCACCATTTTTCTTCGAACAAAAGAACAATGGTGTTGATAATGAAGTACTTACTCATACAAATTATATATTCCATTGTGGCATGAAAACCGCGGAATCATGAATAAAGGCTATAAATAGTCGTGAAACATAAAAGGATGAGTTCGTGTAATGCTTTAATATTTAAAAATCAGAAATCTGAGTATATCATTCTCATGCAAGTTTAGGAATCATCTAGGACTAGGATAATGAAACATCTTCAACAGGTAGAATTGTACAGTGTGTCCACTTTTCGATGCTTTTGCGTGATATCTCAGTTACCTTTGGAGATAGAATCTTGCGGTTTTCGCGGTCCTGTGCCATTTTTTTTTGTGAAACTCAAGATGGCCTGATCAGATTCTGCTCAACTGTTTGCGTTCATGAGGTACAGAGTGATTTTGGGAAAATGTAATTTTTGAATCCCCTCTATATCTACGAAGTTTCTCAGCGAAAATATCAAATCAAAATCTTCACTATAGGATATAGGGATTTACACAGAATCCAGTAGCACACTCAATTTTTTTGTTTCGGAGTATATTGGTTTTGGAGACACGACTCAAATTTATGGTTCTTCAAATGAAACTCCCTGTATTTCATTAGCTCAATAAATTCCTTATTTTTCTCCTTCAAAATGATATATAATGTATGAAAATAAGATTCCCAAAAATGCTCCAAAATCACTAGAACATTGAATTATAATAGTGGGCTATGGATTTTTCATATAAAACAAGTTCCAATCGGAGGAATATTTCCTTCGATTTTTCTATGAAGAGGACAAAAACAATATCAGCTCAACTTAACTAACGAAACGCAAAACTTAGGTACCTGATAGCACCAAATGAAAAGTTATAAAAAGTTCATAATGTAGTATAAGCACCTGATTAAAAATTTAATATACAATTGAATTTCGAAATTATTCAATACCTTATTCATTGAATTGTTCAAATTGATGTTCATTTTCCCTCACATACTTTCTCAATACGTCCTAATGCATTCAAAATCATTGTAATTCCTGGAAAACTGCCTCTGTTGTTGCATGAAGTTCTTCAAGATTGTTGTGCCTCTTTCTTTTTTCTAAAAAAATCACAATATAACGTGTTTTTTGATGATTTTCAAATTTTTTTTTTTTTTGAATAACCGAATCGAATTTCGAAAAAGTAAGACGACAGGAACATAGATAAAATCTTCACGAATATGTACAGTTTTTTTCATCCACTCAAAATGAAAAATGACCCTAAAAAATTAGGGACTACGAAACCCTTGCATTATTGCTTTTATATCATAGTACAACTTCCTCTTAAGACGTATTGAGAATGTGTGTCAATTGTGTGTTAGGCAAAATGAACATCAATTAGAACATTTCAAAGAATAGAGCACGGCGAAAACTGCAAGGTTCTAACCCCAATGATAACTCGCAAGAGAGAGATATCACGCAAAAAGCATCGAAAACTGGACACAATGTACTTTCTCTATATGAATATAACAGTGAAAGTTCCAATTCCATGTCCAATTGAATTAAACAAAAATAATTTTTATTGAATATATCGAAAACATTATCATTCTGATTTCACTACCATTTTCAGGAAGCAAAATATTTTGATGTCGTATTTCTTTCTGTTTTTGAAAAACTGAAGAAAATGTTACAAAATAAATGGTGAAATTGTTGTAAGTTTTGAAAATTTTGACTAGTTGATATAAGGAATTTACTAGTTGATGAAAGTTTTTGGATCATTGGATAATTCGATATCTTTTGTAGTCCTCCATATTTATCGCTATTTCTACACAAAGCTCACGAAATACCACTCTTAAACTGCAAAACAACCTGATATTTTCTTTTCATAGGTATTTGAAATCGTTTATTTCAAATCCAACCCAATTTCTTCAATAGTATATATGACATTTACCATGTACATTATTTCATAGGCAATTGCGATGGGGAGTACAGTCATCTTCAGAGAGCATGTCGCACATGGACGGTGTCAGGTAATAAGAGCGTTCATACCGCGACATGTTCACTGAAGACGAGTGTACCTACCGATTCTGAGAGGGATTTAAAGATACCGGACTATGGGTGTAACAGGACCAAGGAACACCAAAGGATTCAATTTTTTTTTGGCATTACACCTGTTGATAGAAGTACATCAGAATCGAGCAAAATAATCGTGGCACACTCAGATGGGAAATGAAAAATGAAATTAAAATAAATGCCTGTTGAAGCTTGAAATGTCACTTACGTGGTATCATTGAATTCTGAAAATAATGCAGAATTTGAAGTTGCAATGATATACAGGGTGTTCCATTTGAATAATTGAAAGTTATCATTACTTCCGGTGAAACCAGAAGTGGAAAATTAACCATCTTTATGTAAAAACATGATATTCATCGGGTGTATTGATCGTTTGAAATTTCAATCACTCACCTCTTGAACTAAAGGAGAAAAAGGAGTTGTATCATGGTCCTGTTTCACCTGGTATACTTCAATGGATTATATATATTATCAATTTCCTAAAACCGGATCTAGTTTCAACGGTACCTAGGTATTTTATACTTATCGTTTTTTCATATAATTTTATTTGAGAGAACTTTGTTTCAGATTCCAAAAGTAGGTATAATTGTCTGATAGTCGATGTAGGTACAAGGTGAAAACTACCACACCCTAAACATAAAAGAAATTATTTGTCCTTCCTAGTGCATTTTTATGAAAGCTTGTCTTTAAGAAGTAATGTTTTTTATTCTCAACTTTCTAGTATTTCTAATGACGTTGAACTCATCTGCCATTTTGAAACCACCATCTTGAATTTCTCAATTTTGATTAAAGAATCATGATTTGCGACCCCGAGAATCCGCCAAGGTACCAATTTTGAATAGAATCGGATCATAATTACAAAACTCATGTAAGGTATTGAAACACTGTTGTAACTAAAGCACACTATATTGAGAAATACCACAGTACTACACCACGTATTCGCAAAGACTGACTAACTGATAACCGTCCACATTCCTTATCCCCCGATGATTGTACCCTTGCATAATCGTATGACTCGACGTGAGTCAATGTGGATATCAATCTCATATACAGGGCGCAGACTATCTTGTAGATGTGGTGCAACACTCGGCCATCCTGGATTTTGCGATCGTCCCCGATCGCGACATCAGTCTGAAAAATGCAAACAAAATTAGGGTTACTAATATTTCCTGCTTCGCACACTCCCTATACCCCTGCCAGCAAATGGGCAATCTCCCAACCCTGCCAGCATATGGGCAATCTCCCAACCCTGCCAGCAAACGGGCAATCTCCCAACCCTGCCAGCAAACGGGCAATCTCCCACCCCTGCCAGCAAACGGGCAATCTCCCAACCCTGCCAGCAAACGGGCAATCTCCCACCCCTGCCAGCAAACGGGCAATCTCCCAACCCTGCCAGCAAACGGGCAATCTCCCACCCCTGCCAGCAAACGGGCAATCTCCCAACCCTGCCAGCAAACGGGCAATCTCCCACCCCTGCCAGCAAACGGGCAATCTCCCAACCCTGCCAGCAAACGGGCAATCTCCCAACCCTGCCAGCAAACGGGCAATCTCCCACCCCTGCCAGCAAACGGGCAATCTCCCAACCCTGCCAGCAAACGGGCAATCTCTCAACCCTGCCAGCAAACGGGCAATCTCCCACCTCTGCCAGCAAACGGGCAATCTCCCAACCCTGCCAGCAAACGGGCAATCTCCCACCCCTGGTATGGTTTACTCACCATTCAAGATCTTATTTTGAAAGGTTTCATATGTTCCAAGCAAACTACAGCCTCGTATGGTATTCTTGATCGAGTTGAATGTATGTCCTCTTTAACCCTGTAGCGATCTTTAGGTAACACCTCAATTACTTTGAATGGTCCCTTGTATTTAGCTAATAACTTCTTACTTTGACCATCGTTGGATGGAAGGCTGGAAATTCTGGTCAACACCAAGTCTCCAACTTGGAATCCTTCTGAGACCCGTCTCTTTTGATTGAAATAGTTATTTTGATAACACCTGTTTTCTTCCAATCTCTCACTTGCTTTACGTCTCAGCTCTGTCACATCTAAAATGTCTTCATCTTCCATATTGTAGCGATCTCCATCCGTTCTGAGCCTTATGCCAAGAAGAAGTTCAGCGGGGGTAGCAGAGGTGACTTTGTGGTGAGTGCTGTTGATACCCTGTTGAATGGCATTCAACTTTTCGTCCCAGTTGTCATCGGTAGTGTTAGCACCTGTAGTCGCTAGAGCATCGAGAATAACCTTGTTTGCTCTCTCAACTTGACCATTACCTCTCGGCATACCAACTGCTGTGTTGAATAGTTTTATACCTTTCTGCTCGCAATAGTTGATGAACTGTTTAGAGGTAAATGCTTTGCCAGCGTCACAAATCAACCTTCGAGGATTCCCAAAAATGTTCACGAGCTGGTCGAACTCCTTGATTACGTGGACGGTTTTGGTATCTGGAACTGCTCTGATTACTACAAACTTGGTGAAGGCGTCCACTATAACAAGAAGGTAACTATTGTTCGCCTGGGATTTCACGAATGGTCCTAAATGGTCAGCATGAAGAGTATGGAAGGGTGCAGCGTATTTAGGTATAGAGTGTAAAAGTCCGGGTTTTTTTCCACCACTTGATTTATGGTACAAACAGTTCAGGCAGGATTCGATATATTTCTTGACAAATCGTCTCATTTTCGGAAACCAATAGTATTGACGTAGCCTCTCTAGTGTTTTCTCAAATGCAAAATGTCCGACGTCATCATGGTTCAGTTTGACCACTTGCCACCTGCACTTTTTGGGTACTACCCATCTCCGACCAGAATTTGTAAGTCTATAAACTT